CTCAGAATTCAATAATAAGGACGAGCGTTCAGTTATAAAACCGAACCCTACTTGGACGAACGCTGGGTCAATGACCGAGCACAAATCAGAACGAACACTTCGGTATAAGACCGAGCGCCAATTGGGACGAACGTTCAATATAAGGCCGAACGCTCTGTAGAACGAACGTTCGACACAAGGTCGAACGACATTAAGGACGAACGCTCGACTTAAGGCCGAACGTCATTGAGGACGAACGCTCGACTTAAGGCCGAACGTCATTGAGGACGAACGCTCGACTTAAGGCCGAACGTCACGTATTTATAAAGTTTCAAATATTTATCTATACTGAGCTGAACCGAACGCTCATTCACTAATAATGGGGACGCTCGTTCTCGAGCAGAATTCTTTCCAAATGAAAGAATTCCAATCTAAGTTATTTAATGAAAACCGAACGGTCTAAGACCGTACAGTGACGAGCGTCATTTAGCAAAGGGGATGATTTAAAATTTCAGATTTCACAAACTTAACAGAATTTTCCAGATTTCCATCTTATAAACCTTATAACTTTCATTCCAGATTTAATTCACCTTCAACTTCACCATCATACAGATTTCAACATTTTAATAATTCCAACTATACAATAATCATATTCCATTCATACATAATCAAATCAATCATGCATTTAAATCAAGATCAACAACATATAATACATACGAGCAGTGTTCGTTCACAACAGATCATTCCAACCAGAATTCATATCAGTAAATTTCCATAGCAGCTCAAACTTCAGAGGTATCATACATGCAAATCAGAATATAGAACATACAGTATAAATTAAACATATAAGCTTCCCTTACCCGGATTGGATTTCAAGCTTGTCCTAGATAGGAAATGGCTTTGTCCAACTACGCTTTTCTTACGTTCTTGACTCTTCCAAAATAAAATCTAACCACGGAATGCAGATCACTTAGAATACATGTTTGCATGCAACCAAAACCCTATTTTTTTCCAGAATCCTAAGGATGAGCTACGGAATGAAACTTACCAGTTTCAGTTCTTGAAGCTGTTCGGTCCAGTGAATAGCTCTCAATGCAGTGGACGTTTCTACGGTGCTGGAAATGGAATCGGAGGAGAAACGTGAGAATTACAGTAGAGAGAAGTTTAGGGTTTCTAGAGAGAAGTTGGAGAAAATGAAAGGTTGGTTTTCTGAGGAAGAAGATGACTGATGCAGGTGAGCGGAAAGGTTTTCGAAAATTACTTTTGTTCCTTCAAATTCCAGACGAGTGAGCGTCTCATTTTCGGACACCTGCAACCCCCATTCTGATTTCAGAAACTTCCAACGTGACAAGTGGCATGCTTGCATGCAGAGTTTAGTGCGTTTTAATGCACTGAGTGTATAACGTGGTGCGTGTTTCAGAGAATGATGAGCGTGGTTCTTCGTGCACGTCAGAGAGGGATAGGATCAGTTTAGGGAGTGGGTTTTAATGGCTGGGAATGAGGTGGCAAGCATTAATGGTGAGATGTCAGGATTAATTTAGGCTAATTATTAAGGGTTTCACAGGTATAAATACGTTGAAAAGAAGTTGAAGTATAGAAAAAATTTTAAAGTAAAGGATAACTTGACTTAATTTTGAGTGCTTTTTTAGAAATAATATGTAAATATAATTTTTTTCTTCTTTTTTTATATGAGCTTATAGTACTATAACACACAATTTCCATGGAATCGTGCCAAAAGATACCAATCACGTTAAAATTGACTGATAGGGAGAGTACTCAATTAAATGTAATGAAAGGTCTTATTGTCTCTATGGTAAAAAAATGAATTTTTTTTATAACGATACTTTGACAATATCATTCTGTTCTTGATTTATGTTGGTATTTATGATTATTATTATTAATTGTAAAATAATTTTGGACCAATCACATAATGACATATAAATGATGTTAAAATGTTGTCAAAAAATATTATCAAATCATTATCCTTTTCTTTTTTGCAAGTCGACACAACTAACTAAAATTCAACAAAAGACTTTTTAAGAATTTTCTTTTAAGTAAAGTATTTTTAATAATTTTTTTATATTTTTCTATCTCTTTTAATACATACAAAAAGCTTTATATTTAATAAATAAATAGTTTTACAAAAATAATAATAATTTGGAAAATTTATAATCAAAATATTGGAAGCGAATACTTGGTATAAATACATTGAAAAAAAGTTGAAGTATAGAAAAAATTTTAAAGTAAAGGATAACTTGACTTAATTTTGTGTGACTTATTAGAAATAATATGAAAATATAATTTTTTTAGTTTTCTTTTTATAATTATAATTTATTATATGTATATTCATCTATAATAATACAATACTTCATATTTTATGTCTTATTTTATTTCTATAATTATCAACATGATCTTTTTTAATTTAGTTTATGTTATTTTTTATATCTACACTCCGAAATCGTTTCTGAGATTCTACAAAATACTATAAATTATTCTTTGTAACATAAAAAAAATCTTACCCTTAACAAAAAAAACATAATAATATCTTTCATAAACAAGATATTATTGAAATCAAACATTTTGCTCTACATCTTTATTTCACCGTTTCTAACACCTGTTCACTCTCACATTCTTCTAAACTCATACCTATAAAAGAAAAAACAAATACAAGGATAAACTAATATTGTAAAATAATCAAATCATGCAATTATAATTTAGATACAACACATTTCACTTTAAAATCAAACAAGAACCTAAACATATATAATCATTCTAGACTTGACAAATCTAGATACAGGTATTGATGTCAAGCTACGACGAATTATGCACTTGTGGTGATAGAACAACTATCCTCTGTCCAAGTTACCACACAAGATTAGTTCGTCAATCACCTCTATCCAAGCTCATTAAAGTCCAAATCAAAATCATCAACATCATGCATCAAATAACCAAACACACTCATCAAAACATAATCAACACTAAAACAATCATTTCAATTATAACCAAATCAACATAACATTATTCCTCACAACATAACAAACATAAATTCATGTATCATAACACGAAATTAAGGATAAAATCAGTTTCTCTTACTTATTAGAAGACCAAACGACCCTAAAGAACCCCAAAACCCTCTCACATATCAAAGGACATTAACTGTGCCCACAAACAATGAAATCTCATGATCAGGGTATGCCATTAAGACAATTGATCGACAATGAACTAACAAGAGAGGTTGAATCACACATGCGAGAAAGGGGAGAACTCACTGTGTCTTAAACTAAAAACTAAAGAAAAAGGAGCATAAATTGACTTACTCTAAATGGAAGACGAATCGGTTGAAAGGGGAGAACTCACTGTCGTGATCTCCTAGACATCTCTTGATCGTCGAACAGATGTCTCAAGAGTTAGAAATCTTAGAGAGAAATCAAAGAATGAGTTTTAGAGAGATGACGAGTGTTTTATATAATGAAAACTGTTTATGAAAATATATTTATATTATTGAATTATTTTAATATTAAAATACTCAGTTTTATTATTATAAAACACATATAAATTCTAATACATTATTTTTTAAGTTCTTACCTCCTTTGTTTGTTATTTAATTTTTGTTATCATTTTAAAAAATGATAGGTAATTGGAATGTATTTTTTTTTCATGTTTGAATTACAATTGAATATGCAAAATTAGTTTAATATATTATTAAACATGCTTTAATTAAAGAAAATTCAAACTTAATTAAACACGTTTCTAAGTTACTAGTATATGTTTTTAAGAATTTTCCGACCAAATGTTTTGGAACTCACTATTGTACTATCAAACTTATAACCTTGTTAAGGATTGTTCTTTTTATCCTCTTTGATACATCTTTTCATTATAGTATATAAGCAGTCGTAAGTTATTTTTGAATGTAATATTTAAAAAAAAAATTAAACTCATGTGCTCAAAGAGTTTTAATGGTCTTTCCTTTTTTTTTTTTTTCAACTTTTACTTTGAAAGGTTTAAATGTAGCATAGGCTTTTGACTTCTCAAATAATAAATAAAAGCATATTTTCTAAATAATTGTCAATAAAAAAGTACTTAAATACTTTTGCCTCCATGGATAATAGTTTTATTAGGCCACATAAATTTGAATGCACAAAATCCAAAAGATTATTTGTTTTCTATGATTTCTTTTTTGTTAGGAAATTGAGATCAATATTATTTATTAGCAATTATATTCTTTCCAAACTCGAAAAAGAACATAAATTTGTGAAAGAAATTTTATCATTTCTTTTTGTTTGAAAAACTTTAATTATCTAATATTTAAATGTCTATAACAATAATGTTGAAACTAAGAAGGATATTTTTCTTTGACCATTAAACTAGATTAAATGTTTTCAATCTTTAGAAATAAAAGTTAGTTTGAGCATTATGTTATGGACATAGAAGTAACTCAACCATAATATATGATTTTTCTATCTCAAAAGAAACATGTAAGATAAATTTTTAACAAGTTCAAAGTGAAGAATAACAATCATGTATGTACTGGAGTTGAATGTGACACAAAGATATACAAAGATAATGATGGAAAAAGCGTGTGAACACATATTTCAAGAAAAATGTCGACCGTATAATGTATCTCATTGTAACTAGGCTAAACATAATGTATTTTGTCAGTTTGATTAACAGGGACATGAAAAATCATATTGAATTACATTTATTGGCTGCCAAAAAATTCTTCACTATGTACAAGAAACTCGAAACTTTGGAATATATTACAAAAAGGGTGAAAAGTGTGATTTGATTGGATTTACAAACAGTGATTATGCAGATAATCTAGATGATAAAAGAAACACGTTTATAATTAACAGGTTACCATAATACACTATACCACTCCTCATAATGTTTATGGTTTTGTAATGAACCTATTTAAAATGTTATACCATTCTGAACGAAAGATACAAAAAGAGAACACAAATTCTACTAGATTTTAGTGCTAGAGATGATGATAGCCAAGATGGGCAAGTGTGAAGTGAAGGTTGAAAGTTTTATGGTAGACATTTATATTTCAAATCCAAATTGATATGCATAAATGAAATCATTGTAGTGCATACACCAAAGGGAATCATTGAAGTTCATAAAATAACTGAGATGAAACAACCAAACTTATTTTTATCAGAGCACTAACAGTGAATTGAGCATCAATTTCCCAATGGAAGGTTAACTGATAGGCTTATAGTCAATCACAACCAGTTTCTCTACAGCGGAAAGGAACCGATTTGCAAATTCAACATGAGCAGGATGAGCTACATATTCTGCAACGCCCTCTGTACTCTCAAAGGTTGATTCAAACACATGAGTGAAGCCTTGATGCAGGTTTTCAGCACTCACATCTGTGCCCCTACAATACATAATTCACCTATCAGCTATGCATACATGTTGTTCTCAAATGTCTCAACTAGGCCACTAGAATGAGTTTATTTAGATGCAAATGTTTAGAAAGTTATATACAGTAAAAGCTCAATGACATTGCTCAATCTATGCAAGTTCCATCAATTGTAACAACATATAATTCTTTCAACAAAATCCAAAACTCTATTCATTCAGGCCTTAACTATGCCATTAAACTTGTAATTTGTCAAACATTTCCAGTGCAAACTTAAGCCTTAAACCGTGGATCTTTAAGAAGCACGAGGCCGGTCAGATCTAACACTGGCACTCAAAGCTAGTTGCCACATACAACCACAGATTGGACAATTAGTTAGAGATCTCCCTGAAATCATACTCGCTTGTATAAATTAAATAACAAATAACAAAAACATAAGACCCTACAGTGCAGAAAAGGCAGAGATCTTGTTCTGAAATCCTGCAATTTCACCGACGGACTTCTTCAGTAGTCTTAGCAAAAATTACCAGTAACATTTCTGAATTCTACAAGCATGTACAATCTCAAAATGTAGCAATAAATAATTTGGAAGCCAACCCGATCCAGTCAATGTTCCACTCACTCTATTCACCAGTATCATCGCTTTTTCATCAGCAATACTGGGCAAACCTATTTTAATGAAGTTACTGAAAAATTCAATCTTTTAGATTTTGCAGGCCTTGTTTGCATCAAGATGAAAGTGGGTGTGAGGAAGAATAAGAAAAGGAAAAAATAAACAAGGTAGCATACCAATGGAATGCTTTCATGGGTGGGATAAGATTGACTAGGTTGGCATAGTCCTTGATGAGCTCTTCAATCTTCTCTGGGGTGACATCGTCCTTGAACTTTGCGAGCAGTAAGTGTTTCACTACTCCCTTTGTTTCCTCCATTTCCACAACAACCTCTTCTTCCCAATTTCACTCTCTCTGTATACCTATTTAAGCAAAAATAAATAAATAAAAATATATATATATATATATATATATATATATATATATATATATATATATATATATATATATATATATATATATATATATATATATTGACACTATCAAAGTCTTTACACATAAATTGATGAAAAAGGCCTCTCTTTTTTTTTTCTTCCCTTTTGTGGTATGCGCATATATTATTATAGATACGAAATTTCCATGGAATCGTGCCAAAAGATACCAATTACGCTAAATCGATTGATAAAGGGAAAATTAAATTAGATGTAGTAAAAGTTTTATTGTCTCTAAGGTAAAAAAAAAGAAGAACTTTCTTGTTGCGAGAGAGACATGGACAGAACTTGTATTCAACGAAACAGTTTTTAAGATTTTTCCTAGCTAACTGTGCTAAAACTTTTTTTTAATATATGTATTTTGTAATGTGCCCTGATACACTTTCATACGTATAAGTAATTTTTAGTTGAAAAATATTGATATATTTTATTTTGTAATATAATAAAAAAAATAAAACCTTTTATATATGAACTTTAATTTGACTAATTTTATTTATATCTAAAAACACGTTTATTTTTTAATAACTATATTGATTTTATTAAAGAAAAAATTAATGTTAATATTTAATTAATCTTATCTTTTTGTTTTGTGAATTTAATATTGGAAGTGATAATTGTATATTAACGATAATTTTTTATTTACTAAACATACACGACAGTTGTTAAAGAACAAAGATGCTAAATTACATTAATTATTAATAAAAATTTAAATAAAATTAATAAATTATAATTATTGTACTAAGATTTTAAATTATTTTTCCATTCTACGAAAAATAATAAAAATAAGTAATACTTGTTATAATGAACTTTCTATTTACCTAAATAAAATTAATAAATAATGTGTCCATCTACATGAGTTTACATACTTATTAAATATTAGAAATAATATGAGATTTGACTAAAACAATATTTAACAATGGAAAATATAATAATTATGCTAACTAAATATAAAAAAATTGCATTTGTTCGATGATAGAATTCTTACAAATAATGAGGGGAAATACTAGTTAGGGATTGAAAAAGTCATATCAACGTTTGTTATATATGATTCATGAACTTGGATTATTTAGTAATAGAGAATCACACAAAACCACAATATTCAAATGCGGTGAAAACTGTTACATATTTTCACATTCAAAATTCCTGCCATAATTTTACAGGAGAGATTGTTCAACTGTAACAAAAGATGGACGGAAGTAGCAGAGGTCCAATTGAAACGTTACTGCCTCTGCTATGTGCTCTACAAAAATCCAAAATGTGCCAGTGTGGTGTGGACTGCTCAGAAACTATATAATTGTTTTTATAATGTACAAATTGTTAGAGGGGAAAATGCACCATTAGTTTAATGGAGTTTTTCACAGGAATCAACCATGCCACCACGTGACAGTGATAGTCATTCACGTTATATGGAGTAGCCAACCACTGGATCAGATGAAGATAGATAAAAAAGCATTTGCAGGTCACCTTCAATTCTTTATAATATCTCCCCTGCAATGCATGAATGTAAAATTCTCAAATTCTGGATTTGTTTGACGTATGACCACACAATATCAAAAACATAAACAGTATTCAGTATTCAAAGTATACACATTTCAATTGAAAACTCAAGCAAACGTAAATATCTAGAAAGTATCTCATAATATCTTGATTGTATCTTGTAATAATATAGTATTTGATAGGAGATCAATAGAGGAAAGACCATTATTTTGCAATGTTGTGCTTTACAACAAACAATCTTACAAAATCTTAGTTTATTGTTAGTGGTTGTATAAACAATGAGACTTAATGGCTTCCTCAAAGAGCTGAACAAAGCTACTATTTCCAAAGTCCTAATTGGCAGAGGAAAAAATATAGGCAAAGGATCAACTGCAATGAAAACCTACTCAGGTTGAAAATAATTTACCATGTTCCTAGAATTAATTGATATCCTTTAACCTTTCCACAACGACTGGGACAAAATTAAAAGGTGCTGTAAACAAAAATTGTATAATTAAAGATACAAAAATATAAGTGAACTAAATTCAAATGAAAGGCAAGGAGGGTTTTGCTTTAGAATTGACAAAGGAGCAGCAGAATACAGATGAAGACAAAAAAGAAAGATCACAGTAACAGAATAGTGAAAATATGTGATGTTCGTCTCCTAATCTCCATCCATGTTTTTCAATGCACTAGTCCTTTTGTTTTGGACTAAAACCACCAGGATCATTCATTACCTTGCATTTTATTCATCGTGTTACTGTGCTCTTGCTTGTGTTAGAATATGGGTATATAACTCATTTTCTATTTTGTGTATACTGTAGTAAGAATTTGGTTTCCATTATTCAATCACTCGAATCTCTTCCTTTGATTAAGATAAAATCAACTATGAAGAGAAATCTTATTTGTTTGGTTGATTTTGATCAGCTGGGAATATCCAAACCCAGGTTTTGTCACCAACAAACTCTTCAAACTCGTAATAATTCCAGTCATCTTGCAAATCTATCTTCCAACAATCTTATATCTCTTGCCTCCATCTATGTTTTATGGATTCTGCTTCCTTTTTTTTTTATTGCATCTATTGTAACAAGCTTAAAGGTAAGGTTTAACTTTCAGAGGAGTCTTAAAATAATTTTAAGAAGTTTCATTATATATTTATTACATCTTATAAAGTCTAGATGAGATAGTGATTTCCTTATTCAGTTATTATGATAAGATGTCTTGAATTAATAATAGAGGTTAGAGCTTTGACTTTACAATTATTGTGTTTGTCTATCAACAAATACTTTCACTTTACTAACATGAGCCGCCTTTATCTATTTTCCCTCTATTGTAACCAAATCTATAATTGTTAACAGTTTCATCCAACTTCAATAAAGAACAAATCTGACAAATAATCAGCTACTGAAATTTTAGCATTGTTCCAAACATCTACTAGTTAAACTTGAAATATAAAGTGCTGGACAGTAGTTGATTTTAAAACAACCAAAATGGGCTATAGAAGTTTAGAGATTAAAGATTTTTCACTTACAGCCAGGATGAAAATTTACTGCTCTCCACTTCTCCACCAGGATTTCACACAAGTGGAAGCTGAAAAGTGGCATCTAGGTTGTTCTTTACAATCCATTTTTGCGGATAGGACGAATAAGATGATTCAAGATCGATATGCCAGACCATAACTCTCGAGCAGTTGTCCATCAAGCCCTCCATTTGACTTTCATCTTCAACCAGCTGCTCAATCAATGTGCTGACCTGCATATAGAAAAACAAATCCACCACTGATGAGGGCAGGTTCTGAACGCTACATTTTTCTCCCATCCTTATTGTAGAAAGCCATGAGGGCATATAGAACAATTCCCAACCACACTTGACTAATGATAATCTGATTGGATATGTTTTTCAAAACTTGGATTATGAACAGAAAATGTCACGTTACGTAATAATAGATAAAGTCAGAAAGATAAAGATATTGTTTAGAAGATAGAAAAGACAGAAAATGAATTTTAAGTGTTAAGACCACCATGGAGAAGTTCAATTTGTAGCAGAAAGAACATAGTTACAGAATATTCAATAACCCTATTATAGGCTAATAGTAAATTCATAATCAATCTAATTGATCCTAATATCGTCAGTTACTATATCTATAGGATTCTAACATATCTCTAAGATTCTAACAATCCACCTCAAGTTAAACCATATAAGTCTGTATAAACAAGCTTATTATACGTGTAGTTAATCTGAAGACCCTTAGTGACTGTGAATATATTTGCTAGTTGACCATAAGATAGTAGATATTTCCCAAACTTCAGTTCCTGAAACAAATGTTGAGTCAAATAAACTCCTGAGACTGGCTACAGCAATAGCTCGGTACTTTGTCTCTGCATTTGACCTAACTACAACATGTTGCTCCTTATCTCAAATATACAAAAACCAGGGGATGACAACGTTGGTGAAAATAAAAGCTTCAGGTTTTAGTCTTGTTATGGATCAGCCCTACAGAGAGAGAGAGAAAAATAATCAAACAATGTGAAAAACAATAAAAAATGGTCAACCAAACAGAATAGTCTGCCGAACACTTTCAAAACGGAAGGACCACATATCCATAAACAGCACAATAAGGGTAGTTTGGTGGCAAAAACATCTGTTCGGAAGCTCATCAGACGCGACGAAGAAGACTGAAAAGTTGCAAGTGGGGTTTGAATGCATGAGGGGTGTGAGCCCATTGATGGAGGAATGGTTGTGGTGGTTGGTTGTTGCACAACAAGACTATATCAATGGCATCAGAAAGTCATTGACTGTGAACAGTAAAATACAGCAAGGGAAAAACAAAAACCGAAAAACTTCCATGGTTTCTTAAACAGGCTCATGATACCATGTTGAGATGAGTAAAACTGAAAAGGCATATGATGAATTTTATGTGTCTAAACCTCAGTGGAACTATTCAATTTATACGTAAGAGAACACACTTATAGAATACTCAGTAACCTTATTTTAGGCTGATAACATAACTATACCATCAATCTAACTGATCCTAATATCCTCAATTAATCCTAATATTATCAGTTACTATATGTATAGAATTCTAACTTATCTACAAGATTCTGACAGATATATTAATTTACTAACCCTCAAACTGTCCTTGACCGAGTCAAGTTGCCTGATAGGTTCTAGAGTAGGGCGATGCCACTTCTTTGGATCCCAGAGTATCGTACTATTGAAGGCAAAACCCGACATTTCAGCATGAAATCTTTTGGATTTCCCTCTTGGTTCATTCGAATGCCATCCAATTACTCGATTTCCATTACAAATGGGCCCTTGCAAGACAATTCTACTTTTATCCCCTGATAATCTTGCTACAGTCCATGTCCCAAATCGCCTGCAAATCAAAATGACGATATATCTCAACTAATAAATGAAAAAACCGTTGAAAAAGCAAAATTATTGTAGGAAAGAGGAATATC